AAACTATATCCATAAAATATGAGTTTTACAATATCCTGCACATTATAAACCATGAAGTATCTTTTGAAAAGCCAAAAAAAATACAGTCAAAAGACAGTGTGGCTAAACAAAAAGGCCAAGAGACTGTTAGAGGTAAGAAAATACTGTTCAAAAAGTTGAAGTCATGCCCAGACAAGTTCAGAACCACCAAGTTTGGCATATTCAATAAAAAAAAAAAATCATGAGAAAAATGGCCAAAATACTTGAGAAAAAAACTTGCTGAAGGCGTAACAACTAATGCTAAATCCTTTCTGAACATGTCAAAAGGAGGAAGTCTGCCAGCATCCAGAGGGCCAGCAGACGATCAAGATGTAAAAGCGTATCTTCAAATAATGCATGACCATTAAAAAAAGCTACATGAATTTAGAAGTGCTTTTAATGAAGTATGTTTATGGCAACCCTTTTTTCTCCTCTTATGACGAAGATATGCCTCAAACTGAAGCTTCAAGAGAAGGATTTTACATCAGAATTCATAAAACTGCGAGTACAAAAACAACTGAATTATTAACTGTGGCATTCACACTAACACTTTTTCCAAGAAAGCTTCTACAGAGGTCAATCATCACAGTAAAGAAAAAGAAAAAAAAAAAAAAACACCAACATATTCCCGACAAAGATTAAATAACTGAGCTTCTAAATAGAAATAGAAATAAGACATCTTTAGAAAGTTGTCCTGACCTATTAAAATGAAGGACATCTCAGCTCATAAAGTCCCAGTGTCACAAATCACTAGAAGGCTGGATAACACAGTGGAGGCGTCAGTTCCATTCCAGTACTTTTCCCAGCAGACCTGCAATCATCCTCTATTTGAAACAGCACAGCAAACCATCTGGAGCTCCAGTTTGGCCCACTGTGTCCATTCCTATGTTTCTGCCAATTCTGAGTGGATTTCAACTTCCAAGAGTTTCTATTCTGTACATTTTGAATTAGTATCCCAGACTCCTTTTCCCCACACCAGAGGCTTTCCCCAATCTGTTCAATCTTCTTCTTATTGCAGCCTCTAAAATCCAAAGACACGAGCACTTTCATAAGCATGAGCCCAAAATAGTTAGGCTTAAAATAAATGCTGGCCCTTAAAAATGCCTTGCAGAAAACTAATGCCAAAAAACACCCTTTTTCTGTATACATAGACTGATTCAACAAACTCTCAATTTTTTCTCTGTAGCTCGTTAAAAAGTCTAAAATACCACAGATGTGCAATGTGCGATTTCACAAAGAATCTTTACAGAAGGTTTGAAACAGTGGGCTTAGAATATATTAGCACTTGATAATTTAGAGTATCCTACTGACAGAACTTCAAAACAAATCAGAATTTAAACCTTCAATCAAGATTTCTTTTAAATACGATTTGATGAATTTTGCTAAGCATTTAACAGGAAATAGTAAAAGCCTGTATCTAGACTACTCAACATATGAAATACAATAACACAAATCTAATTTACTTTTCATACAGAAGAAAAATGTCTCTGTAGAAAATATTAGCAGAAACTTCTGCCAAATTTAAAATTTTAAAGACAAATTATAAGGAAAAGATGTGCAAAGTTACGACATACTTTATTTAGAATTTAGAAACAATTTCCACAGATAGAAGAGATAGAAATGCAGGTGGATAGCACTGAAATAGAATATTTCATATAATCTGAGCTTAGGATAACAACAAAATCAGCCCAAGAGAAGACAGAGCAGATAAATGAGGAAACAGATTTACGTAAGCAGTGGCAAGGGCATGGTTTCGTGTGGCAGCAGCCTTCTGGCAGGAACATCATTTATTAAAAAGCTCAGAGCCTTGAAACGTTTCTTCTCTTACCAGTTTAGATGCACCACTGACCTAGCTGATGACTCAACAGCCAATCTCAGTATTCTCTTGAAAAAAAACGATGTTCCAAATGTTAGCCTGCTATCCAGCCCATTTGCCACCTTCAGAAAACTGCAGTATGTGCACAACATCAGAACTAGTGCTGCCATACATCCAACATGAACCTGCCTTCCTTAAATCAGGCATTTGAATCCAGTTTAATAACTACTAAAAAGAAGTCAATAAATTGCATCCTAAACGATTACATAGTGACTAAAGCCAGTCTCAAAGCAAAACATCATTTTCTCTATAACTATGCATTAATCTACCCAGAACTTCAAAAAGTCTATGATATCACCCACACAATGGGAAAATAGATAAAGTTGCCTACCTCTGAACTGCTTTAAAGAGAACAGAACGTGGCAGAACACATTCTACACTAATTTCATTTTTAGCTTCCAGTAATGACTTGCACTTACCAAAATTCTTACTCATATTTGACATAGAGATTAATTTCTTGGAAATAATATCAGTTCTGAGTGAATCATCTACTTTCACACTTGGTATTAACATACACTGTAAAGCTTTGGGAGGGACAATTATTTGCAAATAAGGTTTTGGTTTTTTCATTATTTAACAATGTTCTGGACCTGCACGATGAGAAGAAGCATGTCTGTATGTGATAAGGCATACCAAACCTGGTAAATAAACCCCATACAATTAAATACGTGCAGTCCCATGCATGATGCCACTGTATTTCCAAATAAAACACCATAATAAGATAAAACAAGTTGTCTTGACCATGTTGTCTCAAGATTTCACTTCTAAAATTGTCCTTCATAATGTTCAAAAGGAAATCTCAAGATCTGCAATGAACAAAACATACTGTTGCAGGTAGATATTGAACAGTTCTATCAACTGTGATCACAACTACAAATACAACCTAGTCTGATTTTAGGTATATCAAGTGACAGCATTTATCCTCTTTTAGGAAGCACTGGCAATTCAGAGCCTTCAAAATCTTGCTGAGTTTAGGAAGCACCTTTTCTTTTCTAAAACTTTCATGCAAAAATGAAATATGTTAACAATGTATTTTCTTAATTAGCCTTGGCAATTTCACCTTTTGAATATTTGCAGACATTTATGCCTCCATTCCCACTTCCTGTTGTGGTCCAACCAAGCTGTACATTTCACTCTTTCAATCTTTCCTATAGTTTAATTCTTCTATTTCTCCACCCCTCAATTAGCTTCATGGTTCACACTGTCAGATGCTTAGGCATCAATATACTTTATAACAGCAGTATAACATAAATTACAAAATAAAACATTATGAGCTTCTGAAAATGGAAAAAAGGATGGTATTGATTACAGAAGAGTTCTCACTTCCTGTAAACATTTCTATATCCCACTCTTTCTCTTCCTCTCTCTCACACACACAATCTTTAAAGGAAAGCCAGAAACCCAGAAACAACAGTTTAATTAAACACCACTAGACTGAATTTCAAATCACTGGGTAAAAAGATGGTCACCCTTCATGGAGTGCCAGCAGTCTATTTCAACTAACTGGGATTAGTATTAACGTAACGTCCTAGAAGCTGGAGGATCTGAAATATATTTAGATATTTATGTGTATATATGATAATTATAAATACTGCAGCATTATTTACCACTATACAAAATTGGTACCAGCAAAAAAGGAGATTTCTATTTAAGGCTATCATTGAACCCAGCTATCTCCTTTAAGTACACTGAGATGTTTGTACTTGCATAGACTTACATTCAGTAGACATGTAAAGATCAGTTTTAAAAAATTAAGTAAAAGTGTCCTTCTCATCTTTTCCACAAACAATCTGCAATACTGAGCTGATGCTTGACACCTATTCCGTTCCCCGACTCTACAATATTTACATATATTTCTAGAGGATACATATTTTTCAACACTTGTGCCGTTATCATGAGTTCCCTTTGCTGTACTGAAAAAGATGCCTGCCTTTCATTAATACTACAACACTGACATAAGCTTTCAACAGTGTGAGACAGACTTTAAATCAGGAGAAATTAAAAAGCTTTATTACTGCAAAAGCAACACAGGAGATTTCTGATGCTCTTTAGCCTTTATCAAACTGTAGTTGCACACCCTGACACTTTGCTTCCACCACTAATTCTGTAACAAGATTCTCACTCAGCAGTAATCCTGAGAACCGAGTACTGAACTCCACAGATTTTCTGTTCCATTGCTCCCTACAATGAATGCAGATAACTGACCATTAAGCAAGAGTCCAAATCATAAATTCTGCATCCTGACATAAGTACTTAGAAAAAAGTGCTACATTTATTTATGTTCATACAACCAGGAACAACACTGAGATGAAATTAACTTTCTTCCACAGCTTTTACTTTACTTTACAAATCCTGTATAATTTCATCTTAAAACTCTTGTGTTCTAAATATTACCTTTTTTTTTTTTTAAACACACCACAGTTATTTTTTTCAATATCTTAACTTCACAGGTCAGAAATGTCTTAGCTTACATTCTCCAGTCTTGCACTGCACGATCAGTTATTACCCTACTTATCAATTCTTTTAATTACTCTTTTATTATTTTTATTGTACTCTTCTTATCTTCCATTTGAGAGATGAAGAGACAGAGGACAAAATCACTTTAAATAATACTTAACTATTTTGATGGAAAAAATTGCCATCTGCAGTATTTTTGTATCCAAGGGACCCTCTTATGTTAAGGACTCCCAAATTACCTTAGTCCTCTACCAAAGACTTCCAGTTAGACAAGCATTCTGTTTAAAACAATATTAAGCTTTTAACAATTCTTTGCTGGATCCCTTAGTGTATAACAGGTAAAACACATGCTTTCAATACAAGATGAGGTCTTATAAAGAGGACAGTTCTAATGCTTGTTGATTTTAAGTACAATGACCAATGTAAGAAACCAGTGGAAATGAATTCATGAATTTCAAGGTAAAACTGACACACACATGCACACGCACATTTATATATAAACTAAATGATATAAATATAGAATGTATTATGGAATTAATGTCAATGTTTTAATTCACTATTCAAATAAATATTTTATTCGGTTTTTGTAAAGAAACTGCAAATAAATACTTGAGCAACATTTTGAAAGATTTATAAAAGTAGCAAATACCTGAAGTACTCACAGCAGTGGAGTAAGGTGTATGAGCTCCTGTATTTTCAGCCCAGCAGCCACACCCATAAAGAGCTGCCTAAGAAAAGAACATCTTTCATAAATTTAAGTATTCAAGCTTTTTGGTTTTAAAAAAAAAAGCCAAGAAAAACCTAAGTATTATTACAAATTATACAAGTAAAAATTCAAATCCATTGTAACTGAGTGCTAACTTTGTGATATACTGTTGTCATTTAACCTTACTTAACCTTTCTGAAAATGAGGTACAGATATCAAGACAAAATAGTACCAAGTGTGCCCTATTCATGTAAAGTCCCTTTCACTTTTCTATTCCAAAATGAAACGTTTAATACATTTTGTATGAGAACTGCTCTTATGACAATGGTGAGAGTGGACCAAAAATACATCTGTACAGTTAACAGAGAACTACATTTCTAAAGCACTCAAAAACTCTCTTGCTTAGTAACAACAAAGAATGCCTACATCTCATTTGTTCTTTTAATACCTTTATCACTTCTACCAAGTCATAAGATTATTTAAAAATAAAATTCCTGGAGAACCTCTGTAAATAATGCTGGAAGTCCTATTCATAAATGCTTTAAACATTTAAGAGACAATCTGTAGTATCAAAGATGTGTTTAGGGGTGAGAAATTAAATATTAACAGTTCTGGCAAAAGGTAAGTAAATAAAAAAAAGCTTCTTACCTATACTGCCTATAAACTATATCAGCACTATATATCACTATAACACGAGTGTTGTAAAACACAACTGTGAGACTAAAGAGCCAGAAAACATGTAATCACCTGACCAACTCTTCCAGGATGCTTTAGTGCTAAACCTCCACTGGAGACAGCAGCAGCAACATTTCCTTCTTGGTCAACAACAACTGCACCGACTGTATCCAATGTTCCTGAGTCATTCTCCTGCAGGACACACAAACAGAAACAATTAGTTAAAATTCCACATTAAAGTCAGATAATGCTTCATAGGAGTGTGCAAATTAATGTGTACAAAACAGATTGGTTACCATGCATGCAGTACTGGTGGTGCTGCCCGACGTCTTTCCAAAACACTCACTTGTCTCAGACAAGACCTGAAGAAAACTTCCTTCTACGCATTTCAGATGTGCTACGACTTTCAGCCACAACTGAGTTCAGATATTATTAACCCAATTAGAACACTAACAAGACAGCACGGAAGCAGAGCAAGCTGCTCCCTGGAGGTGCAGATTCCCATCCTTGGGTGCTTTCAAGATCAGAGTGGATAAAGCTCTTCACAAGACCATGATTTCTCCATACAGAAGAAACACTTAAAGGATGCAAGTTTTGTTGTCCATCGCTCACCCTATTTTATCAAACCAGATTATACCTAACAGACAGCTACAGATGGGAAAATCAAGTTAGGAAATCAAAGTTAATTTCGATCAAAGTTAAAAATGCCAGACTAAAAGTCACTGTGTTATCTTAATTCATTTTAAATCAAACACATGGGGCTCCCGTAATGAACTGAAATGTATGTTAGAAGGATCAGGCTCAGCAGAAGCTTTCCATATCATCTGACAACAATGAAAAAAATGTTTGCAGCCTTTTTTGCAGCATCTGTAGAATTATTTGCTCAATCTGCCATCTATCTTCAGATCAAGCACTCACTTGCATAAAATATTTGCCTTCAGCAGTTACACAAATATTTTTTTTAGAGATACTTAATCAAACGTTGCAAGCATTTAAAAGCATAAGCATTGCATGAAAACTTTCTTAAGCATATCTCCTTTAAAGAAGATATATTTCATACAAGCAATTGCAGTCTCCTCAGTGGTATAACTTGCTTGCTTTTGTTTACTTTTAGATGGGAAATTTAGGAGGCTGGAAAACTTCTTTAAGGAAACATTTGTTTTAATGTGGCACACATAACTTTCTGAAGGAAATTATCACCCCTGTGGCAAAACAATTCTGAATTTTCCTTCTCAGTAACATCAGTTCTTAAACCTCAGAGACACAAAGATGACCAGCTCATAACAGCTGTGCAGTATTGGCAACAGAAGCTAAGCTGTACCAGGGTACAGCGTAGAAGATCACAGCTGTAGCTAAACTGTAAAAATTGAGATATGTGAAAGCCTGAAACTAGACATAGACAATAAAATAGCTATCAAGTCCCACAAGTATAGAAAAGTCCACAGCTCCAGAGAGGAACAGCAAATAAAAGAATGAGCATTTAACAATTCAAACTTAAACTTGACAAGAATATTCATTTTTAATTATTCAAGTTCTTAAATGCTCATTAAAAAATATTCTCAAATCTTTTACATGAGGTAACTTTGACAGCACAATTTTATGACCACAGTTCATATGCTCACTCTTGTTAAATACCTCCTTTCTAACTGCTTAGAGAGAATTATTCTGCTTTTCCTGTAAATCTTGCTCTTGCAGAGTTTGATTTTTCATTTTATTTCATTTTGAAGAATTAAACTGCCTGCAAAACTGCAGTTATCTTACGTTCTGTGCAGTAAGACAAGCAGTCTGCACGATGTGGTTTAGTTCTCAGCCCCCCTCAGGATGCACCCAGAAAACTGACAAAACCACCATGTTACTTTGCTGCATTACTTACCAATGAGTAGAGCTCTATTTGATCACCTCCTCTACTACCATCATTGGCCTTTGAGGGTCTCCCACACGTTCTGCACATGACTCTGGAGCCCTTGAAATTTCAAATTGCAGGTTGGTAAGCTCATGCATTGGCGTATGATTCAAGCATTGACTTGTCCCTTATTACATGAACTCCAACACTGTGCAAAGACCCTCCTCCCTCAGTTACGTGTTAACACCATTAGAAAAGTAACTTTTGAAAGGAGGTACATGAAGTCCTGTAAACAAGACAAGTTCCAAACTGGTGACTATTTTCTCCTCAATCCTTACTTTCCTCACACGTCTTACCTCCTTGAAAACTGAAAAGTACCATCCTGCCAGGGGAAAGACCTAATCTGAGAAGAAAACAGCTGAATTTATCACTGGTTTGCATTTGCACAGACTACAGTGAATGCAACTTCTTCAGCAGTTTTAGGATTTGTACATTATTTATATCAACAATTGCAACTAAATAAGGCAGCAGTCAGTCCAGTTACCAAAGCAAAGAGAAGTGGCCAATGCAAATAGACACAGGCTCCAGGTGAAGTACAAGCATTTAATTATTTAATTTAGTAAGCTATAATGTAACAGTAAATACAAATACTGTGACAGACATTTTCTAATTGTAAGAAAGGCTCTAAGTTCAAAGTAACAGAATGAGGGAAACAGAGGGAGTCCTAGTAATCTTCCAGTACAAGTAATATGGGCCAGGTCAATGCTAGATGATGCACAGATGCACATGTTTACCTACCTGACATTTCAAATTTCACCAATTCCAGCTCCATAATGCAGTGTGTTCAGAAAACACTAAAAAGTGGGAAACACTGACAGATATCTTATGCTAAAGAAAATGTTTCAGTGAACAGTTATCTGTTTGTGTTTACATTTGTTATATTTACACTTCAAAATATGCAAAATACATTTTCCATATCACTAACACAGAAAGGGAGAGATTGGTGTTCAAGTAGCAAGGCATGAAGTTCTGACTTCACTAAGTTATCATGATATCATCTGAACATATTGGGTGGTCAAGGAGAAGAGTCTTTGAATGCCTCATTAGTCTAATCATAAATAAAACATGATTACTCATCATCAGCTGTAAAGTTAGGATGACAATAAAACTTGAAACACAAACTAACCTTTTCATTTGATTGTCTTCTCTTCTTTAGTTGAATAAGATCAGTTTCTACCCTTTCAGCCAACTCCAGTTTCCTCTTGTTCCTCTTAAAAGCTGCTAAACTAAACCCTATAAAACACGTTGAAAGCATTTAACTAAAAAATTTACTTAAATATTGTTAAGTTTACACGGTGGAGGTCTCTTCCCACCACACTTTCAACAAAAAGCAACAATTAAAAAAGTCTACAATAAAATACTAAAGTTCAGTACAAGATGTTCATGTCTTTTCCCAAATGAAAAAATTTCTACTATTGTTCAGCAACGGTGATGGGTAAAATAACTAGTAGTAACAAATTGTAGAGCACATATGGAAGCTATATTGGTCTAAATATCTCTCTGTTTGGCAAAGATGCAGCACTACAAAGAAGAGAATGGAGTAAGTGGCTTATATTAAAAATATTGTTTCTGACTGTTGACAAGTAAATAGATACCATGTGAACTCATTCTGATATCTGTAAAGTCAGGCTACTACTTTATTACCTTAAGTGCATATCTGCATGTTTATCACATATTTTAAAGCCACACAATAATCAAGCAATAATTTTATGATCCATAATCTGACACAGTATAAACACCAACTAGGTCTTGAAAAGACAAATAGACATTTTCCACATCCAAAACCCCAAATTCAGAAATAATGTTATTTAAGGCTGAAAAATAAATTAATACATAAATAATGCTGAAGAAACCAAAATAGTACATTCTCATTTTAGAAGTCTCACTTCATGAAAAATCTGCAGATACTGACATTTAACTTAGTTCTGACTTAATATTACATTGGCTTAACATCCTCTTTGAAAGGCTAAAAAAAAAAAAGAGAGGAGAAAAATGCCTTCTGTCACTTGTTCAGATGCGCAAAATCAAGGTATCTGGAGGGCAGAGGTACATAAGGATAAGTCACAAACTCAATAGAAGTTAAAAAGCACAGGCTTCCTATTTGAAGTATAAACTTCTAAAAATGTCATTTGAAATGGAATTCAGAATGTGGCTACATCACTATTATTCAGAAGACTGCAACAGCTGCAAGATCCGTCTACGAATAAAATCAATATTGCAGAGCCAACCGAACACAAAGCTTTCATTTACAGTTCTCAGTGGGCAGTGAGCATTTTATTTCTTTGAAACTTACCATGTGGGTGCCAAAATCACCCAGAGAACTCTCCTTTAAGCCTGTTTTAAGTACATGGACCTGGACCTTAAACTACCACATCTATTCAAGAGCATAACCTAAAAGTAATCAGAAAGCTGGCGTTTCTCTCCAAAAACATAATGAATACCAGTTTCTTAAAACTGTAAATACATATTAATCTGCCATCACCAAGAAAGGAACTCTTTCTACCATTAATATTGATTAATATACTTTGGCTAACACATTTTCATGTTTGAAACAAGGACCAAGAGGTAAAAAGCAAAACACTCGATAAGGAGGAGCAGGTGATATTGACTGGAAGACAATACACAAATAAACAACAAACCAACAAGATGAAGAACAGAATTTGTTAAACAGATGTATTCCAAAATGAACTAAGACAGAACATTGTTTTTAACAGAACTTTTAAACAGGAAAATAAACAAATTGAGATGACCTGAGTGAATACGGCAAGCACCTATGGGCAGAGCCATCATACGTGGGTGAGAAAGAGAGGTGCCTGGACTTGGTACTCATAAAAGTAGATATTACACAAGCATAAATATACCTAAGACTGTTATCTACTGCTGTCATTGACTCCTGCCAATTCAGGAAAATAAAGGCTGTGCACCCAGTGAGGAGTAAGAAATATGAGGGTACATAAGCCCCATCCATAAAAACCTGTACACAAGAAGTTTTCTTCGTTCTCTGGAATTTTATGCCATTGGTATTCCGAAGCCTTCTGCAATATTTGCATGCTAATCAGTTTGAATATATGCACAAGGATAGTGTCAAAACCAAGAACACCTGGGCTAGCTCCAAGCTGACCTGTCAGGCACAAAGCACGGCTACATGGTCTCACTGAGTCATCACTCCAACTATGCCATTGTTGCTATCTATCCAGCCACTTTTTCCCACAACATATGATGTTCTCCAAGCTGAAGAGATATGTTCCATCCACGGAACTCCTCCATCCTCTAAGCAATTAAACTATTTTCTGATTTTACCTTGTGCTTTAAGATTCTATTTGTGTTTTTGAAGCAATAAAAATGATGATCTGTTCTAAAGGACTTAATTGTCCACATTGCATTATTTGCATTAATTCAAAGAGGCATTTGTAAGCAAGGAAATACAGGGAGAGGACAAGTCTATTAAGTATGAAACTGGGCTAGAAATGTACTTTCTCCTTGTTTCAAGAAAGCATGACTCTTACATAGCACTAATTCTGGCTAACACAATAAACTCTGAGGTGTCAGAACTATTTTCAATTCATGGTTATCCCAACTGCCTTTTTAACTGTATGCTAGGATGAAGACTTGCAAAGCATTTTCTTACTTTGCTGATCTCCCACAGGAACAATGGCGCACTGCTCAATGAAGGACTTTTGCTGGATAAGCAGACATTTAGAACACCGGGAGATGGTATGGCCTGTGTTTTTGAGCAGCTTAAACTATGTCAGATGTTACAGCAGATAGACAGACAGGTCAGTTTTCTAGTACCACAGAATGTCATTCGCTGGAAGGAACCTTACGAGATCAAGTAGTTCACACTTCTAGTCCAATTCAAAAGGGCTGCACAGAAGCTTACTGGTCAAATTCCGAGTATCTTCAAGGATGGAGACTGATTCTCCAACTTCTCTGGGCCCCTGCTGCAGGGGAATATGTATATATTCCTCAGACTTGTGCCAATATATATACATATGTATTAATTAGTCAGAATTTCCCATATTCACATTTACGTTAATCCTCTTTAATTCAATCCCTGTGCAGCAGACACCACCATAAGACACTTAAATGAACTAACACAAAACACTATGTTAAGGAAGTAATAATGCTTTCCAAGTTAAACAAACTAGTCTTTCCCCAGCTTTCTCCAACATGATATCAACAAAACTTAAACATGAGCTCGTACCTTGAAAATTACCATGATATCTGTCACACGTGCAAGTTCATATGGTTGTACTTGAAGGAGGTGTTAGGCGGGATCTCAGTCATGGTTCTGTACTTTAGAATGGCATGAATTTTGATCAGAAAAGAATGAGGGTATTGGAAGGGAGAAGATTGTGGGTTAGTGGATTATTTGTGGGATGGAAGGAGATTTTTAGGGGTCTGGGAATAGAGAAAGGTAGTTTGTTAATGGTGTGCCTCTCTTCCCTAAGTTACTTGTAAGAATTTAGGTATTAATTCAATTCTTAAATATTATTTAATTTGGCATGAAATATCATACCTTTCCATACTGTGAGGGAAAGAAAGCCTATTCAGACTTTCCCTAGAGAAGAAATTCTTGTGCCCAGGCTACATTCAACTCCAGCATATTTATTAGGATTAAATTTCATCTGTAAGTCGATAATGTTGTTTTAGCTAGGACTAACAGTTGCCTTTCATTATGTATGGGAAATAATAATTATTACTAGAAACTATCAATTCCTCTTGGCAGGATAAAAACCTGCAAATACCTCCAAAGTGACTTGAAAATTATGAAAAAGTAGACCAGTTTGTAAAACAAAACCTAGCAATTCCCTACTTTCCTCTGACATTTCACAGATTTATGTCAAACTTCAGATCATCAGTTAAGGGAACACCAACTAATAGCAAGCAACAGGCTGTCTGTCCCCCTTTCACTCCTGCCTTTGTAAAGTTCTAGAAAGACAAAACCACTGCAAAGATAATTTAACCAGCAATAACTCTGGTTGCTTCATCTTGTTCTGTGGTGACTAAAGAAACCAGAAAATCAAATCGAGCTTTGTACTAAAGGACTGAAAGATGAAAATAAAATTTTCTGAAAATATCCTCCATGTTTGTCACCCTGGCCAAACAACATATTGTGAGGATTTTATTTCAACAAATCACAGTTTACAAACTAAAAAATTTCCCAGATTATAATGTATTTGTTTAATGGAGCACTTAAAAGATGAAGAGAATTAAAGTCACCACTATACACAGAAGGAAAATAGGAACACACAATGTAAGTTCATAATTCAAATTATAACTAAAACAAAAATTCAATTGTGCTGTGCAGATTCTAAGAAATTTCATTTGTCCTAAACAAAAAACAGTACAAAATTCAGGAAAATTTCATTCGTCCTAGTACAAAAAACACTCTCACCTTCTCCAACAGCATATTCCAAGCTTGAGAAGAGGAAAAGGACACAACACAGTGTTGAAGACAGGCAAGTTTTCCTAAAACAAATGCAATATAGCTACATCAGCCTGATGTTGCACCTGAGCCAAGAAGATAGGGAAGCTTATTGACTGGGGAGGGAAGGAAGCTGGAAAAAGAGAGGTAAGGAACAGACAGGATTTTAGTTTGAAAAACTCTTGGAGTACAGCCCAGAGGTTTTGTTGGAATATATGGAAAATTATTTAGTACAGCCTCCTTTGATTTTGCACAAGAATTTTGAATTTTAAACAAAAATTTGGTACGTGCTTTGTGACAAAAGTCCTTGACAATTATTACCCTACGCAGTAACAGTGTGCACAGTCAAACTCAATCTGAAAAGACCTGCATCTCAGAAGACACAGACTACAATGGGCCCTCATGTTTTGCTTTCTCTCATGTACATACTGTCATAAATAAAACTACTTCAGAGCGGCTGGGAGAAGGGGAAGGAAAAAAAAAAAAAAAAGAGTAAAAAGTGCCATGCTTTACAGAATGGTTGTCTGTTAGTATTTAAATGCCTCATCAGGCCTCATCCACATAAAAGACATGAAAAAGTGACTGGCAACAAAAACATATCAGAACATCAGTAAAATCCCAGGACTTCGGTCTGTCACATTTACAACAGTGCTCACATATCCCTGCAATAGGCTACCTATAAAAATGAATCTGCAAGGTCCTCAGAACCTTCCCCATCCACATTCTCCCTTCCATCCCACAACTTACCAAGTAGGAACTATCCACATGTACTCTGGACTTAAAAGCTCTGCATTTTGGGTCTATTCATACTCCAGCACTGGGTGAAATGTTTAGTCAAAACAGAGTTGTAGAAGTTGAACAGGGGTCTCCCTGCAGAGTAGGCTAAGTGGCAGAGCACAGAACAGGCAGACGTAGAACTTGCTCAACACCACTCACCTGCATGAGAGGTTGGTATTAGTAGAGATGGTGTCAGAATACATGCTTATTTATTATATAGAAACGTGGAAGAAAAATCTCACAAGTATATATTCCTCAAGGTTAAGGTATAGGTTTTACTATTTTGAAAAGGTTCCAGTGTCACAGGGCAGACTGATCAGAAAAAAACACAAAATCTTCAATACACCATTCGTTAGCAGAAGATATTTATCTAGCACGTGTATTACCACAGCTGCTCATAAATACAGGGGTTTTTAATGAGGTTTTTGCATCACTAACACCATTTTACAGAAAGAGATAAGAGAGTAACTTCCAGTAAGCAGATCAGTAACAGAACACAGCCTCTGAGCCAGTTCAAAGCTGTTGCGCGTGACACTCATTTGCCATAAAATTTCCACATCATATATTCATCTCTTCTACTAATCCTTCTGGCACTCTGGAAGTCTGATTATTCCCATAACTCCTCTAATATATATATATATATGTTGTACTACAAACAAATAAACGTTTAACCCAAGTTCTCAACGGTTTATTATATAATGATGCAGTCCATAATTAATTAAAAGACAACTGTATTCCTCATTCAACACAGCACCTCAGTGATAATACACCCTGACTACTCAGCTAAATGGTTAGCATTTAAAAGTTACTCAATTCTGTTCAGCACTACAAACTCTACAGTAAACAAGTCTCATTCATAACATCCGATTAGTTTCCTATTACTATTTCATTTAAGTCCCTTGATCACACTTGCTCCAGAGAGCACTCAGAGCAGCAACCCTTTCTTGTAGTCACTTTCTGGACTTCTGTCTCCTGCAGCCCTCCTTGCCCTACCTGACTCTTCTGACCCACAAATCAGAACAACTTTAATAACAAATTATTGCACTTCACATGCCCCATTCACGTGCCTTTCACAAAGCTCCTCAAAATAAACCCGCATAAAGGAAAGCCTTAGCAATGCATTCACAGGCCTTCCCCAGTTTCATCTACAGATAGGATGAGAACTGACGTGGCATTTCTGTCTCTACAGAATATTTCTCCTTGGGACTCAGAGCTTGGAACAAACTGATTTGTTGGAAACTAACACTGCCCATGTACAAAGGCACATGGCTGCACTATGATACACGTGTACACATACATGCACACTGACAAATTCTCTGTGACAGCAGTTGTAAGCACCAGCTGGAATGAACTCCAAGAATCTGAGAGCATCTGGGAACAAACAAAGCCTGTGATCTGATTTCTATACCAGCTTTCACAGGCTGCTGGAAATGATGGAAATGGTCCAGAGAACAGAGAAAAAAATATTAAAAATATGACAGTTACAACTGTCATATTCATAAACTGTGTGAAACTACTGAATCAAACACACAGAATAAAACGTAAGACTAAAATGCCTTTTTTTCTTTTGTTTTTCTTTTTTTTCTTTTTTTTTTGTCAACAATAGAACTGACATGTATCAATCTGTTAACTAGGTCTGTGTACTTTGAACAAGCCCACAGCAGACAGGTTGTTTAATACAGTACACTAACACTCCTTGCTCAAAGTAATGCAAAAAAGTTTTTACTAAGAAGGCCACATTTCTGTAAAATCACCATGCTTTTATAAGCCAAATCTATTCGCTTCAATATTTTCAGGCTAAGCTAAAAGTTGATTTAAGTGGATAGTTATGTTTTCAAATTGAACTAGCAGATTCAAAGTTGTAGCATCAATAAAGCACAAATCAAGGTCAAGACAATACCATAAAATATATTTACAGTACAGGATGGAACAGCAAGCCTGGAACATAAGCACAAACCCCACTGTTCCTACAGCAGTTGTTATAAACTGCTATGCAACAAAACATTAGGCAACCTGCAAGTGTTCAGCAATTCTTGTTTAAAAACAGTAACTGAAATACTAAGAAAATTCAAAGAATACTCTTAAATCTCTGGAGTACAGATGGATCAATCATATAGCACCCCCTGCCAGACACTTCTTACAGTCAACCGAAAGAACCAAACAGGAGAATTTTCTTCATTTTATCTTTTTATTCCATATTAAAGAAGGATGCAACTATTGGAAGGAAGAGAATGGCAAAGGGATATACTAGCAAACTAGTTAACCCACAGGAATTACAATGATCCAGTAAGGAATTTTGTTGAGCAGTAGCTAAAACAAGTGGCACAATTGAAGATGGATGGAACTAAATTTCATTTTAACACAGTTATTTTAAATGACAAATTAACACCATTTACGCTTCTGTTGAGACTAAAGACTGCTGGTACTACTTCCCATGTACGCCACACGTTGACAGGCAGCAATAAAAAAGGGAAAAAAACAACAAACCATCCATCAACAAAACGTACGAAAGTATTCACCTAGCTTTCACAAAGCAATCTGCATATGGATTTAATGTTCATAATGTTCGTGGCAAAAACTCAGGGTAAACCCTTGCTGGGCACATCAGTCCTTACTGCTTCACGGAAGAGATCGTTTTTTCTCCATCAGACAGTAAATTCACAAGCTACCTAGTAAAATCCCCCAAATCCCTGAGTTTTTCTCCTGATCCCTTTCATTCTCATCCTAAAAGCAAAGAACTAAAACACAGTTTAAGCCGCTGCCCCGAGCGAGTCACTGAACCATGTAGCTCAGTCCCAGAAACATGGCAAACACCTTTCTTACTTCAATAACAGTGAAGCAGAGGAAAGAAGAAGGAGATGCAAGGAAGGCTGGACGAGAGACAGGCCAAACTGATGGACAGGAAGACACAGGGTGTCACTAGAAGTATGGCAACCTGCATGACATCTAGAAACGGCTCTTTCATTAAAGAAATAGAGCAGTCATAGCACAAATGAGAATATCCCTGCATACACAAAATAAAAATCACTATTATGGTTAAAAAAACAGAAAATGAAGTGGGAGTAAATGGCCTGTTACAAGTCAAATGCCAAACCAACACATAGTAGCACCTACTCTATACAAAATAATGATGTGATTTTACTGATGGTACTAAGTTATTCAAGTTAATAAAGCCAAGGACTGGATGGAAGAACAGAAAGATTCAGAGTCCACGACTTGACAATAAAACAACAGATTTTATTCAGCAAGTCTCAAAATAATGAAAAAGAAGTAGTTCTTCAAATAACCCATAGTTGAGCTGCAAATGTTTTTGCAGATGCTAGAAATTAATATGGGCTCCAGAGAAAAGGACAATCTATTGGCACAAAATACCATCGATCATTTCCATGTACCAATACTGACCCAGGAGTTTAGATTCTAGGATAGCAAATGAGGCAAGAAACAGGAGGTACATATTTGCTCTGTTCTTTTCTTCTTTCTTAAGCACTGCTTTTGGCTAGTCCTGGATTCCAGTTATTGAGCAAGGTGCTCCTGTTTGTATGTAATAGAGCTCAGTGAAGTGCTTCAGGTCCCTTTCATCTCACTAGAGTTAGGGGTACAAACATGCTGCATGAGTTACCATCCTTCTCCTTCCCTTTAAAGATTATATACTTAAACAGCCCTATGTTAAGTCAAGTAAGACAGTACTCAGCAGCACTAGCTGTGCAGTAACTTGGTGTTTTGGCAACAAATATTTGATTAAGTCAGCCATAGCTTCAGATATTAACACCAGTGATGTAACAGAACTCCTTTGTGTTAGATATTAACACCAGTGATGTAACAGAACTCCTTTGTGTTATTTCAGTCAGATTTCCTATGAAGTGCCATAACTACTGTCTGTACAAATAAAATGTCTTAAAGCTGTTAACCCTGACCTCCAGTTTGATGCCAGAGTCACATCTTCAGCTTTCTGAGCTGCTGAAAAATTAACTCCTCCTTTCAAATCCAACTGTACAAAGTACATCTACCTTCACACGATATACAAAGTTTACACATTCACAACCAGACAGGGCTGATGGCACCAGCCATCAAAAACATCTAATGATAAGATGCTCTCTTATACCACATTATCTTTGCCAAATCACCTGCTTCTCATCTACTGTAGGCTAAAATTAAAAACTAAGATAAAAATGGCTCAGTTACTGCTACTAATAGTAATACTAATAGTATTACTAGTGCAAGTAGAGATATTGACAGTTGAAGCTGTACCTAACATTTATGTTGCTGA